GGTATTTGGGTTAAATAGCATAAACGGTTGGACGCGACTAGAAGACCTTGTCAAAGAGATCGACGTCGCCGTCGGCTTCAAACGACAGTCGAGGTTGACACACGCGCTGCATCTCCTCAAACGACGCGCGGTCCATCGACCGCTGGTGCGACCTCCGATGGCTTGTCGCCCGCTCTTTGGTGGCAACAACAACAACCGGCTCGGGCTCGATTGGCGGGTGGACGACCAGCGACCGCGACCGGGGCACGGTAAAGTCGCCAATGTCAAGCGCATCCGCTGACACACGTGCTGTGCTCCAGCGCTGCGGCCGCGGCGGTCGTGCATTGTATTGCTCGTCGGGCCACGACCGACTCTGGCGCAGGCGTGGCGAGAGCTTCTCGGGCTCAAATTTCGAGTGCAAGCAGACAGTGCACATAGCGAGCTTGCGGACGCCGGACGGCAACGCGACGTCCTTCTTCTCAGTGCACGACGGACACACGACCTCGCCGCAGATGCGGCAATTGTCCTTTTTTGTCCAGGCGAAGAAGTCGCCGCCGCACACGTGGCAGTACGCCACGTCCTTGACGGACTTGACCTCCATGTCGCTGCGCACGTAGCTCGAGAGACGGCCGACGTGGCGCGCGTCAAAGAAGCTCTGCATGCGCGAGAGCGCGTGGCACCAGTTCTTCAGCGTTGTCGACGTCCACGCGTGGGGCGTCCGGCCCTTAAAGTCCACCGAGAGCACGTACGTGGCGCGGACAATGCCTTCGGTCGGGTGCGCGGAAAAGACATAGCCCGAGGCGTACAAGCCGCCGCGCACGAGCTCAAGCGACTCGTCGAGCGGCGGGCACCCGTCAATCTTGACCGAGTGCGTGCACGACACCCACGTGTCGACGCCGTCGATAACCTTGTGCTCGCGGCACTGTACGTAGACAAAGTCGCGGTGCCGCATGACCGACGACTGCGACTCGATCATGGCCCAGTTGATCGTCATGCTCGGGCTCAGCTGCAACAGCAGCGCCGAGGCCTTGACGTGCGTCTCGACGGTCTTGGCAAACGCTTGACTCTCGGCCGTGTTGGCAACGTGGCATTGCATGATGGCCTCGATGTCTTCCAGTGATGCTTGCAACGTCACGGTGCCGCAGATCGACTGCACGTCCGGGTTGCCGTGGAGCGGCGGCAGCATCTCAAACCGCGTGCGGGCGCCCGACCCGTCGTAGGCCGCGGCCACTTGAAGGAGGTCGGCGACCGATTTCTTGGCGAGCAGCCGCAGATGCTCGTGCTGGGACGGCGAGACCGACGGGTAAAAGTCGGGGCGGAAGCGCATGGCTCTCAGAACTTACTCGGAGATTTGCAAACTGGCGTGAGATTGCCTTTGGTGGCGCTGGAACCAACTTTATTGAACGGTTTTTCTATTCAAGTATATTGTTTATCTTGAAACAATTTTCAATACAAACTATAGTATAATTGTTGAACAAATAGAATATTAATATTATGCGTTGCATCGCGTCAACAAGTGTAGGTCCCACTCCAGGTGGGAAGCGAATTGCCTAAAGCAAGTACAGTGCCCCGTGGCTGGTCGCGGACGAGAACACGTCCATGCCACATTGCGGCGCGATGGCTCGTGCGCGAGGATAATTTGAGTGGGTTTGTCTTTTCAATGCAAGCTCCAAGCGCGCTGCTATAAGTACTTAGTGCGTAATGAGGCAGGATGAAATGAGGGTTGATAGCTTTCTCAATGGAGCTATAACTTGGGACACGTATTTCCTTGCCTCTTTCCTGGCTTTTACACTGCCCTTTAGTATCCAGTATGCCCATCCTGGTACTTTCTATTGCCAAGGGACGCATGGAGCAGCTCATGGTCATCGAGCATTGGTCTTCCAAGGAGTTGGGAACGTACGTGTACACAAATGTTTGGCACCGTGTCGACGCGCCGTGTGCGTGGTGGGCGCGATCGTGGACGTGCGTCTGCCCTTCAAGGATCCGGGCAACTTATCTACGGCAATTGCAGGCGAATTCACGTTGCAGGCGAGGGATTAGTTGTGGGTCACTGACGACAACTCATGGTTGATTTATGGCCCTGCGTCATCCTAGTTGGATAGCAGACAGGTCCAAGCTGCCAAGCTCTTCTTGGTTCCCGGCAGCAGAAATCCTCGTCACAGCAAACGAAGTGGCTGAGAGCTCGCGACAAGGCTATTTGTGCTGGAATCATTTCCCACATTTTGCGCGTGTAAAACTCTATCATTGCATGCGGTGAATTTATATCGACTATCGAAGGCTCTCGTGGCACGCTCCCAGTGCAGCACGTTCCACTTTGTGTCGACGCACCGCTGCGATTGCGAGCGGTCGCGAATGATGACAAGGACGTCATCGCCCACGCCGGCCGCGGCCCACATCGGATGTACAATGTTGTCGGTCGTTCATTTTTTGTTGCAAACATCCAGAATACCACTCAGTTCTGACTGTTCTTACGCGTCCGAGATGGCCCCGTATTTCAGACCTTTGCAAAGCGACGAAAAAGAATGTGATTTGCACTTTATTGTATACTTATATGTAGAAGACGGCGGACGCAGACGACGAGGTTGGCTTGACACGCTGATGCCCATGTCCCAACCTGGTTGCATTCCCGCTTGAGACGCAGCGCCAGCTGCAAGGCACGCGGGAGAGGGTCGACTAGCAACTCAATTTCGTCTGATAATAGAACAATAGAATATAGTGCAGACGTTCGACGATCCCGCGCCCCAAGAAATGTCGTACTAGCACAAGTACATTACGTTATCTTGGCGGCGTTGGTCTTGCCGGTGCACGAGGTAAGCACTAGACGATATTGACCAATCGACTAGAAAACCATCCGTCGACGTACCGGCAACATTTGCGAAAGGTCCCACCACTTGTATGCGCCAGGCCACCAATCTCATCCCGATATCAACGCATGCTTCTTCGAACGTCCTGCATCCGAATTCCTTTGGCTTCAATCTTCAATTCAACAGCCATGCCTGACGTCAAGACCCGGCAGTATGTGCGCACGCAGATCAAGTCGTCGCCCGTGTTTCGCCACCCGTCCCCGCTCTCGCCGGACGAAGAAGACCATCTTCTGGAGCTTGCGGAGCGAACGTTGGGCACGTTTCTCGCCGTCGTAGGCTCGAGCGCGACGCGGGAAGCGCGGAGCGTCTGCTACCACGGCTCGACAACGCTGGCGGCAGACCTGTCCGAGGTCGAGTCGGTCCTTGCCAACCTCACCGACGTGCACATAACAGATGCGATGGACGGGTACGCGGGTGGTCTTCTCGGCTCCACGATTCTCCACGTCGTCGCTTCGACACCCGAAATGCACGTTGTTTTGCGCTGGTTTGCGTGCGAGTGCTCGGCGCTCGTGCACCACCGCGACTTTTGCGTTCTCGAGGTAGACGGTCCTCGTTTTCTACTGTTATAGTCTGTCTCACAATCATGCACTAGATGCAAAAACACCTCACGCTTCCGTCCGGGCACAAGGCGTGGGCGCTCGCACAGCACTCGGTGCGCATTCCTAGCTGCCCCGACCTCAAGCACGCTCTCAACTTTGTACGCGGATCGTTCTATCACTCGGGGTAACGAACGAGCGGTTCCGAATGGTTTGAAACCGTCATTGGGGTAGGGTCCTCGTGTCCGAAACCGACACGCCCGGCCGCCTCGACGTGCACCAGCGGTTCGAATTTGACCTCAAGGGCACGGCGCCGCGCTGGCTGGCCAAGCACACGATGAAAGCCGCGGCACTCGACTTTACGCGCATCGAAGCGCACATTCACGATCTGCGACGCCAAGAGACCGCTCTCTCGACGTTTCCAGTGGTCTGCACCCATATCAAAACTGCAATGTGTCATTGTACGCGATGCTATAGAGCATGACGCCGACCGAGACGTGCTCCGCGTGCTCGCTCTGTGCGACGAAATTCCATGTCCTCATGAAGAAGCTCAATTGCCAGCACTGTGGTCAGGTAGACATTTGCTTGATATCATCGAGAAGAGGCGCTGACGACGGCACTGTAGGTCGTGTGTAGCAAGTGCCACTCGGCCAAACGCCAGGGTTGCGTCGCTTGCGTTGAAGACCCTTCGGACGTAGTCGACGATCTCACAGCGTCCTCTTCGCGCCGTGACTGTACGTAGTGCTCTACAGCGATATTAAGACGAAGATGGCGCCCACGTAGACGCCCCCGCACTGGCAATGGAGTCGTCCAAGTCGATGCTGGACGCTATGACCTCGAGCTTTCGGAGCGAAGACTTGACGCCCGACTTGGCCGATTTTACGCTGAGCACGACGTATTTAACAGCCTCTGGGGTGTCGACGAGTCGCCTCTCCGACTCGACGCGGACGCTCGACCTCAAGCACCTCTTGGCTTGCGAGCCGCACGAGCTCGCGATCGAGCCCCGCGCGAGCTTCCGTCACACGTGGCTCGGCAAAAAACTGCTGCGATAAGACATTTACATTGTTAGTCGTTCGTTGCATACTCATATTGGTATCGCGCACGGAAGAATGGACCACATATTGACTAGATGACACCGTCTACCTCCACCGGGCCACAGATGATGCACGAGCCCAACGTTTGCGAGAACAGCGTTCATACCGCATCTCCTTGGCTTCGTCGTTGTTAATGTACGCAGCGACGCATCAGTAGAGTGGCACACGTTGTCCCAACGTGGTCTGCACTTGTGGTGCGAGTGTTGCACCCTCCGATCGATGTGGTCGATAATCGGCGTCCAAAGAGGGGTGGTATCCTTGCTTGCCCCCACGGATTCACTCTGGTCAACGCGACACGTAGGACGAGGCGCTGGACGATCGAAATAGTAAAATACAACTTTTGCAGCCTCTACGCCTCGTCGCAATACGACTCTCCAGCGCGGTGGAACGTGTGCGCATGCTCTGGCGACGGCTGTCGCACGGACGCACATAGCGACTCACGAATCCGGCGCCGGCTGCATACTGAGCTCTCGCACCAAAAAGCGAAGCCGCTCGACGGCCATCTCGAGCGGGTGCGGGCGCGTTGGCTTGGCCGAGCGGAACGCCGCCTCGACGAGTGCCGTCAGCGTCTCGTCGGTCTCGTCAAGCGTGAGGGACGTGACGGTAACGTTTTCGTAGAGCCAGCTGTCATCGTCCGGCGTCCAACAGCCTACGTCCAGCATCAATGGCGGCATCTCACACGCACTCGACGTACCCAGCGGTAAGTTGCCTCGAAGGTAGTGGATGGCCAAGACGGGGTTGCCGCACGACGAATAGAGCGCATGGTCGATCGCCTCATCGGGCATGCCCGAGTGGAGAAACATAAACTTGCGGAGCGCGCGGAGCTGGGCGGGCGTCGTCGGCGCTGGCATGGGGAACGGCGCGAGCTCTGATGGACGGGCGACGACACCGGGTACTGCGATGGGCCGCATCGTGTGCTTGTGCCGGGGCACAATGCGGCCAAAACTGTTGGCCGCCTTGGGACGGCCAGGGGACGGTGCAGCTGCCTTCTTTTTTGCCGACCGCTTGCTTGCGGATTGGGCGTCCGCAGCGTCGGTGATCGGCGCCTGGCTCTCTTCAGTTTGCGTCGCGTCATCGATCGTCGCTGCACTGTCGTGCGACTGCTGGCTGTCCGGCACCACACCGTCGTCGTTGTCTTCCGCGTCGCTTTCATCTTCATTCTCATCGCTGAGCACCATGCGCGCTGAGACACGTGGCTTCTTGGGGCGCGTGACGACGTCGACGTCCGACTCGGAGCCGCTCGAGTGGCTGCTGCGTTGCGAGCGCTTGAGTCGGGTCGACTCTTTTTGCGTCGAAAACATGGGCGGTGGCACTTCTTCGTCCGTGAAATCTTCGCTCTCAGCAGATTCGTCAAGAGGGACGCGTCGCTCGCGGGACGTACGGTGGGGCTGCTTGCGGGGCGCCACCGTCCGCGGTACATCCTCGCGCGACGCCATTCGAAGTGCTTTGACACGCTCGACCGGTAGCGGCGCCTTTGTCGGCCGTGGCGCCGGTGCCTCGTCGTCGTCGTCGTCATCCTCATCGGGGTCTCCGGCGTAGCCCTAGCAGATCGCTGCGTTCAGCGCGAGCGCGCACGAGCAAGTTCTTTTGTACCTTGAAATGCGTAAGGATTTCACGTAGCTGCGGCAATGTCAGGACCACGAGTCGTCTCTTGTGGTGATCGAGCATGCTTTCGACCGTACGGTTGGTAATCTAGGCGGCAGCAAGCTAAGTCCATGCGACCACGGCCGGTCGTGTACCCTCTTGGCCGCGGCGATGGTCCAAAACTTGCGATGGCACCCGCTGCTTTGGTTGAGCTTGAGGTGCATGTCCTACACCGCACGATTCGAGTCCGGACAATGGCACATGAGAGCGATACCAACTTGTACTGGAGCATGGCTGCCTGTTCCGGAAGCGTATACGGCGTGCGTGTTCTCTTGGCGCGTACTTCGGGCTCGTCTTGGTCGTAGTCGTCGTCGTCGTCGGCCCAATCTGCCGGCGCCATGAAGGGATCGCGGTCGAGGAGCATCTTCTTCTTGATACACTCGTAGATGTACTCGACATTGAGGTGGTCGTCTGCATGCTTCTCGAGTCGCTGGTTGTCCATGAGGAGGATGCGCCCCTCGGCGTTCGCGTCGACGACTTCGCCGCCATGCTCCTACGCCATCTTGAGCGCATGGAGTCGTCTTCCTCGAGGTACCTTGATGAGCTCCTCGGCCTTGTCCCGCGCCAGCGTCCGCTTGTGCACATGGAACTTCATCCCCGCGAAGAGCGATCGCGGCCCCGTCATTGCGGACTCGGGTGAATTGGCAACTGACCGCTCTCGGCCCGAAAAGCAACGTCTTTTTAAACCGATTTGCATACAAATACAAGTACAACTGTCATTATAATTCCAATAAAATTCGAGCCAGGGTCGGGAAATAAAAACAGCGTACGATTGGCTATAATTCAACCAATCCGATATGTTGCATTTTGAAAAAGTCTGCAGGCTCCAAAGCTTCCCTTCCCGCCACCGTGTGCTGCCGAGCTTTGCAAGCCTCGAAGCAATACGACACTTCAGCACAATATTGTCTTCTCGCTGTAGGAGATTGTGTGCACTGCCAACAACTTTACCATTTGATCGGCGGACGGTGGAAAAACTCGATTTATAGCCAATGAAAACGCGATGTTTCCCGCGAAATCGGGATCCGCTACGTTGCCGCCTTCCCAGCAGTTCCAAGCTCTTGCAAAGCCCTCCATTAAGCCGGCTACAGTACGAGCGCAGCTGCCTGCTGACTTGACTTGACCTGGCCAAGTCCAATCTGGACCTCGGCGGGTAACTTGAGAGCCAAGTGGACGCAGAAAGAGTGGGAGATGTCGATTCTACATGCAAGTCGTCTAATGGCCGAGGAGCTTCTTGACCGTCTTGCGGTTGCTCGACTGGTTCCGGCTCAGGTCCTCGCTTGCGTGGTCGACGACCGAGAGTTCGCCGCGGAGGTCCTACAAGTTCCCAATCTAGTATCAACTTTGTATCAAGAACGAGGATACCGTTTCCATCTTTTCCTTGAGGCCGACGCCGCGGAAGCCCTTCCCCATGAGGTACGCGAGCTTGGAGACGCAGCTCTCGATCGTCATGTCGTACGACGTGATGACGCCCATCTCGAGCAGCTTGACACCGGTCGCATACGTATCCAATTGCGTGCTAGCAAAAATGTCAATCTATCAAGTGTCGCCGCATCCAGCATACCGGCCGTGCAGACATTGCGTCGTGACGACAACTGCAATCTCCGAGTTGAGTGCGTTCTGGACAACACTCAAGAAGCCGTCCTTCTTGAGCGGCGCGTTGCCCGTGCCGTAGAGGGCAAAGACCTAGCCCCAATAGATTACACTGCTGTCCATGGCTCGAGTTGAGCGTGTAGAGAGTGGAATACCATGGCCTTTGGGTTGCTCGACGGGTTCGCCTCGCGGTTGTGGCGCTCAATGTAGGCTGTGATGCAGTCGTCGTCAAAGCCCGGCACCAAGTGGAAGACGCAAATGTTGGTGTGCAGGCTCGTAAAGACGCTAAAGCTACAGGTGCATGGACGATGAGTATGCGAGGCCAGAGACGAGCAACCTGTACCGGCGGCGCGGGTATGGAAGCACGAGGCCATGTTCGATGGCCGTCTCGACGCCGGTCGATGCCAGAAACGGAAAGTTGGGCGAGTGGAACGCGTCGACCGACATGTTGGCGATCTTGGTCGTGCGGTTCCCGCGCAGGAGCTTGTCGTTCGAGTAGATGCACACCTATACGCATGGGTCGTGTAGGTAGATGAAATAGGTACCTAGGTACCTCGGGGATGTCGAGCGTCGCCGCGCAGATGACCGACATGATGAGGTTTCGTCGCGCATCACTGTGCGGAAAGTGCAGCGGGATCATGGCACCCGCGACGACGACCGGCTTGCCTACCGATGGCATGAGTCGATGCTTTAGGAGAGAGAAGGAGCAAGTGTACCGAGGCTCTCGAGCATGAACGAGAGCGCGGACGCCGTGTACGCCATCGTGTCGGTGCCCTGCAAGACGACAAACCTGCCGAGCGTTAGGCGCATAGTGAAGCATTCGCACGTACCCGTCGTAGTCCCAGTAGTGTTCTTCGATCGTCGATGCGATCTTGCTCCAGTCGGTCGGCGTCATGTCGGATGAGTCGATCGGCTCTTCCCACTCGATGATCGTGACCTTGGGCATACCGCCAAACTTGAACTCGTCCATCTCGCGCACCTTCTTCTCGAGGAAGCCGCTCTTGGGATGGAGGACGCCGGCCGCGTCGGGCGCCATGCCAAAGGTCCCGCCCGTGTACAGGATCAAGCACGTGGCGTCGGCGAGCGAGTGCTTGGGCTCGCGTGCGATGGAGCTCTTGCGCCCGGGCGCTGGCTCGGGACCAGGAACGCGCGTCTTCACCGGGTTCGAGAGCGGGCCGTCGTCGTCCTGCTGCTGCTGCATGGTGCTGCTGATGCTACAAGCGGCGATATGACAGGTTGCCGGCCACAGTGCTCGCAGACGCCGTCGCGGATTGGCTGAAATGCGGCTTTAATGCACCAATCCAAATGCCGCCTTCGATTGACTTGAAGTGCGGACCATGTGGCTTCGTAAAACCGATCGATACGCATCGTTTTCCGGATTCGGCCGGATAAATGCGCGTTAAACGGTTTCACGCGATGTCTATCCGGAAAAACCCACACCACCGAACCTGGGTCATGCGTCCACGTGGCACGTTGGGAGCGCGAATGCGCATTCGGAGACGAGGATCGCCAGTCTCGTCGCAGCCCAGGCCACCAAGAATGGCTGGCCACGGCCTCGATATTAGTATGCTGGGAGCGACCAACCTACTTCCTGTCTCTCGAGTAGGAAGCTGGCGAGAGCTGTGCGATTGCGCTGGTGCACCCCGGACAAGAGCGCTCGCTTTTCGACAGGACGGCTGCCAACATACTGTAGTACAACAATACCAACGCCAGCTTCAACACGAGTACACTACATGTACATTGTACATTGGACGAGAGTGTACGGGAGTGGTGGCCTCGGTGACCTTGAATCTCAACACTTCCACGAGAGTCTGTAGAGTAGATACCCGACAGCCACGAGCACGAGAGCCTGTGACGAGGCGGGGTTTGCGAAAGCGCCCGCTACCACAGTCTGTGCAAGTTGCCCCATCGCAGCTTGATCGACATTGCCAACCGTTCGGCTTTCCGGCTCGTCGCCCAACACAGCGCCCGCACATTGTCCCGCGGATCGCGCTCCTGTCTCTGCCTGCCTCGATCAGGTCCTCAGTGCACACAACGAAATAAGTCCAACAAATTTATGGGGCGTAATGTTATCTATTGAGTAGAGGACCTATTTCAACATCATCGTACTGCCAACCGATCTCACCCCTTGTTTCCTAGTACTTTGTTATCTCGTAGATGGCTCCTTGGTGAGAAAGAACGAGACAATTCGTCCATTTTCCATAATGCATACCTACTGTATTTCGAGTCGTAGGGTTGTGTGTTATACGCTATCTTCCGTGCTAAACCCCTTGCGACGATGCAGTGGCGTCGGTGGCGGCGCAAAGATCGACGACGCTTTGGGCGGCCCCACGATGAGCGGGAGCATGAGCTCGACGTTGGGGCACGACGGGATCTCGACAATGATGCGCAGTGCATACTCGACCCGCAAGAGCGTACCCCGTGTGCTCGGGTACAGTTGGTTGCGCAGCGCGTCACACATGTCGATGCGCAGAACGCTCTTGTAGGGCGCGAGGCCGCCGCGCGTGTCGTGGCCAACGTCGGACGAAAAGATCCGCGTCGACGGGCCACATTGCACATGGACGTCTTGAGTGCAGACGTATCGAATGCACTTGACGCGGCGTCGGGACGTGTTTTGAATGTCGGCCGTGATCTAACATCCACGTCTGTATCCAACTTGGATCCAACCAAAAATACTACCTGGATCGAGTCGCCAATCGCATAGACGTTCTTGTCGAGAGTCATTTCCACCGAGCAGCGGCCTTGGCTGAGGCACTTGAGGAAGAGTATTTTCTGCGACTGGTTTTCTGAAAACGGCTTGGCGACATACGACGTGGTGCCGTACAGAAGGATCGGGCGCGTCACCGACGCGATCGTCGCGTCGCCGCGCATTAACCGCGCGCAGAGTTTGTACTGGATCTTGGCCTGCAGTGCCGCGTGTCGGACGTTCTCGTATGAGCCTGGGAGCTCCTCGGGCCACTCGAAATCAAAGCCAAACGACGTTGGCGCCGTCGTGATCGCCGTGTGCAGCAGCTACAGGAACGCGATGAGATGACACACACCACGCGCATGCTTGCACCGTGTCTTCGAAGAACGCATGGCGGTGTGTTGTCGGGGGCAACGCCTTGGCCCCCGCGGGATGGCTTGCAACGACGACCTTTTCCTTACCGCGCAGCGTCACCACGAGCGCTACAACACCGCGTGAGAAGTGTTGTCGTGCCAAGCCATCAGCACCGAAGGGCGCGTCGTCGGGGACGGATGCGACGTGGACGTGGCCAGAGAGCGCGTCACCAGTCGTGTAATAGTCTTTGCCGAGTTCGATCGCGAGCGCCATGGCCGACTTCGTCTTGCTTGACACACCAACGAAGACGGCCGCTGTCGCAACTCTACGCAATTTGAAATTCGCGCCAGCTGGAGCCGGATACACGTCATTGACACACGCTTATCCGGATACTCGTGGCAACGTGGCAAGAGCCGACGAAACCATTCTACTACCAGCACTGCTACTCGTCTTGTCGACACGTGGTACGAGGGGCAATGGGATAATATTCTTTTTGGAATTTGGTGAATCGAGCAGCGCAACCCAGCACGTGGACGCTCGGGAAAATTCCGCCTATTTGCAGCTGCGGTGCCCACGCAGAGCTGCGGCTGGTCACCGCATCGACGGCGCCCATCGCACTCATCAAGGGACAGCACAACGCAAACCAAAAGCATCGGACCCACGTTCGCAGCGGCGTTGCGCACGGCGAGGCCAGCAAGATCAAGAAGGCCGTCACGCACCCAAGTTTGACTCCACCACGCTGACCTACGACTATGCGATTCTCGAGTCGGAGAACCTGTCCACGATCAGCCCGATCGAGTGCGGCAAGGATTCTGTTTCTACTGTCATCTTCTCCCGCCTCTCGTACGCCAAGGACTTATAGCGCCGCATCTTCCCAAGCCGGCGTGCTAGGCAATCGGATGTCTTCCCTAACGGATCGTTGGTCGACATTTGTTTGAGTCTTGCACGTAAACGCCAAAAGACTAGGGTTATATCAATGGACTACGATTGAGCTATCGCAAAGGGCGAACGACGAGCGAAAGGCGTCAATTGTCCACAACTAGCCTCGTGATGAGGTTTTACTACGAAGACTCCAGTACCCGTTGGTAGTCTTTTCAGTCCACGGAGCGAGTAGCTATTGATGCTACGTCACAGGACTTCAGCCGAGGACGACGATGACTGACGCGGACATCACTTCAACCAGGCTTGTGGGCTGCTTATTGGGCAAAATCAAGTGCGCTCCACCAATCAAATGCGTTTCGTATTTTAATTGGTCAAAATGATTTTGAAACAGCCAATAACAGACGGCGGAATCTTTCGAACGCCAAGTTGCGATCTTCCATCGTGACCACTTGCGACTTCCATGTCGTTCTTCATGAGCTTCTTCGCGGGCCATGACGCCAAGGTGCGCTCGCTCGACGAGGCAAGCCCGCTGCTCGACCAATCCAAGGTTGCCAAGCCGGCGCGGACCTACCTACACGAGGCCCAGTCGCTCCTGCTGCTGGCGCTGCCTCTCGTACGCCTAGTCTTTATCGATACGGTGCACTCCAACAGCACCGCCATGGCGTAGGTCCTTAGCTCGGCGCTCGACCATGTCGCTGGTGTTGTGCCCATCATGATGATGGGCCACCTCAGCAGCGAGTACAGCAAATCGTACATTTCAGCGATCGCGATGGCCACGACCTTTCTCGTTTTGACGTCATGGACGGTTATCTGGGGCACGGGCGCCGCCATGGACACGCTCTGCTCGCAGTCGTACGGCGCCGGTCAGTCGCAGGACATGGGCCTCGTCTTCCAGGCCGGCTTGCTCGCGGTGCGTCATGCTTCCGTTTGCGTCCTCCTGCATCATCGGTGTACTAGGGTATGATTCTCCTCACGCCGATGCTCGCACTTGGCTTTTTCGCCAAAGACTGCCTCTTGCTGCTCGGGCAGTCGGACGAAGTCGCGGACCTCGCTTCAAACCTTGTGACCATCATGTTGCCGGCGCCCCCGTTCTGTCTTTTCTACGACCTCTTGCGCCGTGTGCTCCAAGGTCCGTTTATCTGCGTCGATTCCTGTACCAGGTGTACTATGGAGTAGGCCAAACCATTGTTGCGCCACTCACGCTCGTGTCCTTTGTGTGTGTACCCCTGAACCTCAGCATCAACTACGTGCTCATGTTTCACACGTCGCTCGGGTACCTCGGCCGCGCCGTGGGAGCTAGCATCATGGGCCTCCTCTCGCCGCTGCTGCTCTTGCCCTACATGATGCGCACGTCATTGTACAAGACCGAGTGGCGCGGCTGGGACCTCGAGGCGGCCATGGCGCTGGTGCCCGAAGTGCTTTCCCTTGGGATCGCCGGCGCGGCCATGCACGGGTTTGAGCTCTGGGGCATCGCGCTCACGTCCATTATCGCGGGTACCTAGATCGCGATAAGATCCAACTCGGACGCTACGTTTCTTATTCTAGGCAACTTGCCGCACGGCGAGACCGCGATCAGCGCCGACGCGTGCATGCATTCGTTTCGCGGCTTCTTCTACATGGTCTACGGCCCGATCGGGGTCGCGGGGTCGATCCGCGTTGGAAACGCGCTCGGGTACTCTTGCTTGTCAACTATAGGACGAGTGGGAATTGACTCGGACGTTAGAGCGAACGACCCGGTGCGCGCCAAGGTCGTTGCGTGGGAGACGGTCGGTATCTGCGGGACGCTGGGCCTCGGCGCGGCGTTCGTCATGGTCTGGCTGCGCCTCTCGTACCCGTATACGTACACGAACGACCTCGCCGTTGTCTACTTGACGTCGCAGCTTCTTTTGGTGTGTGCGCCGTTTCAGGCGGCCTGTGGCGTCTACGCTGCGATCCTCGGCATCTTCCGCGGCACGGGCCAGCAGTCCCGGGGTCTGTCCTGCGTATCTACTGCATTGAGATCTTATAGCACGTGTAGGTGCTGTGCTCAATGGCGTCGCCTACATTGGGGTTGGTCTCCCGCTCGGTGTCGCGCTCGCATATGTGAATGCAAACGGCATTGTTGGGCTTTGGATCGGTATGTCGGTGGCCTTTCTCTGCTGTGCAGTCTATGGTGTCTACTGGCTGTATCACGTCGACTGGGTCGTGCTTGCTACCGATGCTCAAGTCCGCACCCACGAGACACTGCACCCGACCGACGTGCACGACGTCGTCGCGTGAGACCCTCGTCGTCCTCTTGTTCGACATATATCTTTGAACTGTGCTATTGTACTACTGTCTCGTCCTACGAGTCCGCACAAAAGCTCGGAGGGCGTAGCGCTGTCGTATGAGATTGTTTCGAAAAGACATAGGGTTAGGGTACGGGACTCGCGATCGTCCAGTGGGTTTGCGATTGGGTGGTTAAATTACACGAGTCTAGTACGGTTGTTGTTGCTGCTGCTGTTTGGCGAGCTCGGCGAGGAGTCGTCGGACACCTTCGTGGTTGGACGCGATCGGCTTGTACGCAAATCCGTGGTCGGCGGTCGGCGGCGGCGGCAGATCGGCATCGTCGACTGCCTGCTGCAGCACGCTCTCTTGGTACGACCGGCTCGTGTTGAGGCTCGAGAGTGCAGACTCGTCCGTGAGCTCGAGCCCGTCGAGCTCGTACGGCTTGACGACGGTCGACGACTTGAGCGAGTCCAACGCCTCTTCGGCGATCGTAAAGGGCGTCGCAAAACCGTAGCTGTCGTGGCGCGGGTGCATCGTATAGAGCGTCGCGCCCTTTGGAGCTGGCACACCTGGTGTTTCGGGTGCTGCCTTGGTCGGCAGCGGGTACATGGTGGTGCCCGGTGGCGCGTGGACGCGGAAGCCATTGCCTGCGTCTTCCTTGGACTCTTCCACGTCGTCGACGAGGGCGTTGAGTTCGTCGTAGGCGCTGCGGCGCGACGGGTCGTACTCGGAGACACGCGACTTGCGGTAGTCGAGAAGCGGCGGCTCGCTCTCCCAGTACGAGTAGCGCGGGTCGCTGTCGGCGTGCGACGACGATGAGAGTGTGTGGCGGTAGATCTCGTTGAGGTAGCTCAAATCGACGGTCGATGGCGACGAGTGGCGGTGGTCGTCGTCGATTTCTTTCGTCTCGGGCACATAGTCGACGTCGCTGCCCGTGTCAACGTGCACGAACCGATCAAGGCCTGGCGTCATGCGGCGGTACATGGCTTCCAGTGCGTCGTGCTCGTGCTTGGTTTGCAGCTGCTTTTGAAGCCGCGTGAGGTCGACCGTCTCGGTCGTCGACGCGACGTCGAGAAAATCTTGGTGCATCTTGCTCACATACGGCGTCGGCTCGTTGGACGACGAGACGTACGAGATGGTCGACGTCGACGGGCGGAAGATTCCCTTGATCGAGTTGCGTCGCGATGGCTTGCGCGACGGCTGGATCGACGGCCGCGCCCGCGAAAAGCTCGAGTGCCGGCTCATGGACGACCGGCGCGGCGGCGGCTCGGACGCAATGATGATGATCGACGGCCGATCCTCGTCGTCGATCTCGTTGTCATCTTCGTCGCGTGCTTCGGCAATCGCATCGCCGTCAGAGGCGCTAAAGTGCAGCGACGTGCCGTCCCGGACCGCCGACGAGCACGCGTGGCAGACGCACACGGTCGCGGGCCCAAGCCGAAAGATGCCGGTGAGCCGCCACGGTTTCGAGCAGCGTGAGCACACGACTTCGCCGCATGCGTGGCAGTTGCGTGGCCGGCGGAGCGCGAACGATCGGTCGCAGAGGTGGCAGTGCTTGGAGTGAAGCGTCGGCCGGCACTCGAGCTGCGTGCGCATGCGACACGCGCTGAGGCGCTGTTCGTGGATGAAATCGTTGACCTTGGCGACGTTGGTCGCGCGCCGCTTGAGCCCGAGGCGGCGGACCCACTGCGGCATCGCGCCCTTGAAGTCGGACGCAATGTGGTACGTCACCTCCAAGACGCCAGGCGTCTCGGACTCGAGAAAGACGCAGCCCGTGTGGTAGAGCGAGCCGCGCACGAGGTTGAGGCCCGTATGGTTGCGCAGTGGCGGCACGGACGGCAGTGTGATCGAGTGCTGGCAGTACGCCCAGCCACGCTGGCCCGACTCGAGAATAAACTCGTTTTGTGTCTCAATGTAGAGGTAGTCGCGGTCGTGGATCATGGGCACGGGACTCGCGCACGCAACCCACTTGACGTACACTTGATGGAGCGACGGGAGGTCCGCCGACCGCTCGATGAACGTGTAGAGCGGAATCATGTCGAGGACGTCGCCCATCGAGTCGTACTGGTTCATGTACGTGAGGCACTTGTCGCGCGTGTCAAAGTCGTGCAGCGCCGCGACCTCTTCGATCGTCCCCGTGACCTTGGCGATTGCACGAAAGGGCAAGATGCCTAGCGCGTTCGAATTTTGAGATTGCCCTTTCTACGCTATAAATAGAAAATTCGAAGCCGCGCACCTTGGTCGAGGCGGTGGCCGCTCGTGCTGTGGGCTTCGAGGAGCTTGACGCCGTGCTGGCGCCCGGCCGAGCGCCACTCGAGGCTCGGGTCCGGCTTGGTTACCGTCTTCTCGAGGAACGTGTGGAACGTCTTGTCGCCGAGCTGGATAAAGTACGCGCGCTCGTCGTTTGTCAAGGCCGGGCACCGAAAGTAGTCGGCCGGAAGCGGGTACTGCCGCTTCGTCATGCTCTGCTGCTTGGGATGGATATCGGAGTGTCGGCTCAACAGTCGCCCGCGCGATGTGAGCGTGAGTAACGATGGCACCAGTTGGTTGCGTGACTGCATCGTTGCTTGCGGATCGCCCACCCGCGTTTCACGCTCGTCTATCGGCGCGCCGACGTGCATGGAGGCAGGAAGCGGCCAAAGATGCGTCTTATTTCGGACATTGTAGCAGTGCGCATAGACGCGCGGCGCGAGTTTGAGCGACAATCTCAACAGCGTGCGCTGCACCAGAAGGCAACTTCCCTGGACCGTATGCAAAAAATACGACGTCACACGCCGCATGTCGCTGTCGTTGGATTAGTTTAGACCGTATTCGCGTCCCGGCTCGATGGACTGGTGCGAAAGAGCTTCAGATTTTTGTTTTGTTTTGCTTTGCTTTGCGGCGCTGTCGACCCTGTCGTCATGGCACGGGGAACCGCGCCTCCTCCGCGGCAACGCATGATGCGACCGTGTCATCGGCACCTATAAGACGACAGCGCACATCTGGATCATCTTGAAAGGTGATAGGCCTTGTGCCAAGAACACTCGCAGCCGGCTTCGCTTTGCGCGGCAACTGCTCCACGTGCACCACCGATCCAAGCACAGCGACAGCAGCGTCGGTGCTAGATAAGCCCAACAATTGGCGACCGTCGGCGCGGCGTCGAAGGTCTCAACGTCTGGTCTGCCAGTCCGCGGGCCCAACACCCGCCCTGCTACGACTGCCGGTACCGGTAGATGCTTTGGTCGCATTGACCAAATTTCTTGCGTCTGCGCCACGCTTTGGCTATGCTCGTGGTGCCGACGACACCTTTTCCTTGGTGACGCACGGCCTTCTGGATGCCTGGAGCTGGCATGCCGAACGGCAACGCAGCGGTTACGAGCATTGGGCGGTTGGGACCATCGAGCGGTTCGGAACGGTCGACCCTTTTATAACCTGCTGCGTCAGTTGCAATGGTTTCGCGCAGCCACTCTTCAACCGTTTTCACGTCAGAAAGGACATCCAGTCGCCGCTGCACTGCACTGCCATGACGAGCGACGAGCCGGGTTTGCCGCGAGCCAAGGTGATGGTGCAACAGTTGGGGCCGCACCTCGACACCCTCACGCCACCGCCCAAGCTCCCGGCCTTGCTTGGTCTCACGTACATTCTCGGTTCGATTGGTCTTGGTGCCTACTACCTCTGGCTTCTCGACCCGTCGTTCGCCAACGACTTGTGGTGGGCGTCGTATAATCTCAGCGGCCATCAAGCGCTGTTGATTGACATTGCGAACGCGGCGCTCGTGACCCGTGGCAGCGGCGTCCTCGACCTTCTCGCAGCGTCCATGCCCAAGACGTACAACGTCACGCCGTCGTTCACGCGCGTCCACCCGACGTATGCGCGGCGGCTCGTGCTCTCGGAGCGCACGTCGATTGAAGAGGCGGTTGCGGGGCTCCGGACGCTCAGTGCGTCGTGGAGCATGCGCTTGAGCACGCAGCTGTGCTTTGTCGACTTTGCGCGGCGCTTCCACGTCGCCCACACGAGCGCGCGCCAAGCGCGGTGCGTGGCCCAGTACGCAGCGAACGGCGCTGTCTACTACGAGTCGATCTTACGCAACCTCGAGTGGCACTTGTTTCAAACTGCGTGGGGCAACTACTTTGCGATTGCGATCCAGTCGGGCTTGACCGAGTCACCGGCCGGGCAGCAGTGGCTCCAGACGACATCGACGGCGTTCAACACGACTACCCTCTCGGATGAAATTGCATATTGGAAAGCCAGTGGCCTCACACGGTTTGAGTTGCAGTGGCAAAACCGGTGGACCACGGGTGTCTCGGAGTCTATGACGATCGAGAATGCGCTCGGGTGGCAGCAAGCATACTCGGTGAAAAGCGTCGCCCGCGCCACCGGACCGTGGACGACACTCGTCATGAACTGGCTGCCGTACAACGACCTCTGGGTGCTCGCAACGCTCAATCGCAGTGCGATCGCGGGTACGTCCAACTACTTTAACGCGAATCTCTCGTCGAGTTTGCGCGCGATCGACTTGCAAGCGTGGTCTGGGTTCCTCGCGCCCACGGGTCCATGCGACGTCCTGCGGTTTGAGATTGGCCCCATGCCGAGTATCGACACGTACTACATTGCGCCGCCACCGTCCCTAATTCAACTGTATTTGGGCTTTCACGCAGCGCTGCAAGACGAAATGACGTCGTCCTTGGCTCATTCGATCGAAGCGCTTCCGAGTGTCGTGCTGCACCCGGTGCCGCCAACATGGGTCGCCCCCGGGCGCGTCTTTCACGGCGGCAACCCCACCTGCTACACGGGCGCCGGCAAGACTTTTGTGCAAGAGTCGTTCGAGTTTCATGACGCGTGCTCGCAGAGCGTGCCGTTAGCCATGACGTCCGAGGCGCTACCGATGCTGTTTGCGGCGTATGCGTCCCAACTCGCATCGGTGGCCGCACCCTGCGCGTTGCAGTCGTCGCCGCAGTGTGCGACGGCGCTCGGCGCCGCCATCGCGATCGTACAGTCGCTGCCCAAAGCCGAAAGCGTAGCGACGGTCGCCGCCGACGTCACCGCGACCGGTGTCGGCTACATGCAATTTGCATCCGATGCCGGTGTCTTCAAGCTGCTTCGGTATGGCCTCCTCGACCAAGGCGGGAGCGCTGGCTGGCCGTTCTTTGGGTGGCGCGCACTCTACGACTGGGTCGAAGGGTCACGCGAGGTTGTGTCGTTCCAAGGCGACACGTCGACCGTCGTGCTCGTCTCGGCGGCGTACAGTGGCGACCTCTACTCGACCAGTGGCGGTAGCCAAAACGTCCAGCACGCGACCGAAGGCATTTGGTACGTCGTCGTTTACACGTCGTTGATGCTTCTGGTCGTCGCAGCGCTCTGCTGGTGGCGTGCGTTTGGAATTCAGCTCCATGTCCGCAGTATGAACTTGTATCGGTTCAACCGCGTGGTCGGCGCGGTTTGGATCGGCCGGCCATTGCTTTTGGTGCGCGGCGGCACGGCCTTGCTGCTGCTGAGCACCGCGCCGACCGACATTGTGCTCGAGCACGGCTACACGTCGTTTGTGTCGTCGCCGCGGTCGTTTCTTGTCGCGGCCATTCTGGCAGGGGAAGCGACGTGGGTCACCTATGTCCTCAACGACGTGTTTCTGTTGATCGCAAGCAAACTCGCGGCGGTCTACGCGCCCATGAGCTGCGCGTTCGTGTGGCTCATTTATGTCGTCCTCGAGCTCGCGCTGCCTCTGCGCATGACGGGCACGCTCTCCCGCTCGTGTCAAGCGACCAACGTCGACTTTGCGTTGAGCTGCGAAAGCGGCGCCGTCCGCATTGGCTCCTTGGACCGCCTTCTCGTGTTATTGGGGATTCAACTCGGTGCGGTCGTCGTCGCCATGGCCATGTCGATCGTCAACTACATTCGCACCAACGGATGGCAGAGCGAGACAAAGATTGCGCCGGCGTTTCTCTCGCAAGCGCCGCTCGAGCTCTCGGGTGCCGCCGACAGCTTTCTCGTGTCGCGCACAACGTCGGATGCCATGTGGTGCCTCGACAAGGTCACGGCTATCATGTGCGGCCTGTACGGGTACGCGCGGCTCGGGCGCGAAAAGACGTTTGATCTGAAACTGTGGGTCATCTTGGACGATCTGAATCCGGCGTCGACCGAGAAACTGTTTCGTGCGCCGCAGTTGTCGCTCGCACCCCCCGCCTTGTACACGTCGCCCCTCACGGAGCTCGACACGTCCATGACGCAAACCAAGCCCGTCACCGACTCGGCGCTCGTTGCGAAATCGTCGACACTCGAGCGCGACAACCTCTTCTCGTTTTTGCAACGGGCGCTCAACGAGCGCGTCGTCGCTGTCGTCGGCGTCCTCTTTGTCGTCGCGTCCATGGCCGGGTCTGTCTCGTACATTAGCGTCGCCCAGGTCAACTTGGCCAACGACCTTGGCTGGGCGAGCTTCAATATGACCGGCGCCCACGCGTTTCTCGCCAACTGGTTCAACGAGCAGCTCGTGCTCGGTGCAAACAGCGTCGCCTCGAGCTTTCGTCTCGACAGCGGCGGCGTCGCGGCCACAACGTTCTACGGCCTCTCGACGGCCGCGGTCGTCTCGCCCGCCAACTTTGGCGCTCGGCTGCAGTACACGGAGCTCCAAACCGAAATCGCAGCCACGATTGCGGCGCTCCGCAGCAACGACGGCTGCGACGCCCCGTGGATCTTTACGCAGTACTGCTTTGTGGACTTTGAGAAAACGTGGTCGATGGCGACCTCGGTGGCGCGCCAGCAGCGGTGTACTTCCATGACCAAGAATGGCGCCGTGTACTTGGAGTCGATCTTGCGCAACGTCGAGTGGACGTCGTTTCGCGACTGCTGGGGCGACGCATTCGACCTCGCAATCGGCGACGCACTGCTGACGACCAAGGAAGGGCAGTCGTGGCTGGCGACAACAGCGTCGCGGCCCCAGGGCAGTGTCGCCGACGAAGCGTTCTACTGGGCCAAGCACGGCATCACATCGTACACTACCCAGTGGCAAAACTACAAGAAAATCGGACTCATCAACAGCTACGAGATCACCAATGCACTCGGCGTCTCGTACCCGTTCACCCTGCAGTACCTCAACGGCTCGATGCAAGTGGACTTCCAGTCGACGTTCAAAATGTACTGGTCGCTCGCGATCGACTGGACGCTCGTGCAGCACAATACGTCGCTCCTCGCGGGGAAGAGCTGGGTCGTTGGCAGCAGCTTGTATGCGTTTGCAAATCACTCGATGCAAGATGCGCTCGCTGAGAACGGGACGATTACCCTACCCCTCAACAATGTTTTTACGGCAGCGACGACGACATTAGGGCCGTTTGGGTCCGTCGACATGATGTACATTGCGCCGCCTGCGACGGTGCTCGACGATGTGCGCGTGCTCTTGAGCGCGATCCGCGGGGCGCTCGCAGCCTCGGCAACAGCGCAGAGCGACTTCAACACGATTCTGCCGATCGACGCGGTGCGCCCCGTCCCACAAGCGTGGGCCGCCTTGAATCTCCAGTCGTTTGGCGGCTCAATTCTGTGTCCGCAGACAGGCGACAGCGGCGACCAGCGCATCGTTGCGGGGCTCATTAACCTCTTCTCGTACAGCATTGCGTGCTCGTCGAATGGCATTTACACCCAAGTGCAGCCCAGCCGCGAGTTCATCGTGCTCTCGACTCTGCTCGCCAACGTCGATAGCAGCGCCGACATGCCCGCCATCTGCGCGCAAGACTTAGGGCACAACGCGCACTGCGAAAAGTACCTTGCGTCGAGCGTGGCGTTTGTGTCGACGCACGTGACGTCACTGGACATGAACGCGATCAGTCGCCGCTCGATCCAGCAGATCCAAGCCCTCAACATCGAGCTCATGCAGTACGTCGGCGACAACAAGTCGGCGTCGATGCGCGTGCTCCACCGCAACATTCTCGACGCCAACGACCCGAATTTCTACTTTTTTGGCTGGTGGTACCTCTGTGATTGGCTCTTTGGTACGCGCGAAGTCGTTTCGTTTCAAGGGGATGGGCAGACGCTCAATTTGCTCTCGGAATACCTCGCGCCGTTTAGCCAGGACGTGGTCTCGTGGCAGTTCCCGACGACTTTGGCCAACTATGCGCGGTCGGGCGCGCTGTACGTGACGGTCGTTATGATTACGATCTCGTCGCTCGTCTTTGTCTACTTTGTACTTAGCCGGGGCCGCATCGAAGGCTACAACATGATGGAATTGAGTCGCGTCGGGGCCATTGTCTGGGTCGGCCGCCCCTTGCTGCTCGTGCGCGGCTTGACAGCGATCGCAGTGCTGTCGACGGCAACGCTCGAGCTGCAGCGCTCCGGGTCGCTCTCATACTTTCTCAGTCCGACCTTGAGCTGGGTCAAGACGCTCCTCGCGGCCGCCGAGGTCACGTGGCTCGTCGCCGTCGTCAACGACATTGGGTTAATTGCGACCCACGGGTTTGCATTTTACTATGCGACGCCCAATAGCATTCTGGCGTGGACGACGGTCTTCATCTTGACGCGCGTGGCGCCCGTGACGCACGCCGCGTCGATGGCGAAAGTTTGTGCCATTGTGCGCGTCGACTACCAAGTGGTCTGCAGTAGCGCGACCATTGTCATTGGCGACCTCGTGCGTCTCGTCGCGTTGATTGGTATTGTCTTGTGTGCCAACATTACGAGCTACGCGATCATTCGCCGCGTCTGCAACGCGCCGAAGCCCACGCAAGACTCGCTCTTCCTCTCGGCCGGGGCCAAGTTCTTATTTACCGACGACCACTGGGTCCACGACGGCGTCTACTACCTCGATCGCGCGTCTGCGGCGCTCAACGGCATCCTCACATTCCGACGTGGCCGCGTGATCTACGCGCTGGACATCAAGGTCTGGCGGATCTTTGCGATCGCTCTTCCCGAGAAGCGCACCGAGCCGACCGACCGCCGCCTCGCGCTGGCAGCGCAGTACGCCCTACCCCTCACCGACTAGGGCTACAAGCACTGTGCGTTTACTGTATATTGTATATTGTATATTGTAGATAACAAGTATGTAGATCAATGACGAATAAAACCTAGCATATGCAAAACATCCGAAAAGAGTGTTCGTACCGCGTGGCGGCGGCTGGGTTCGACGGAAGGTATCTTGGTGTGTTGAGCTCTGTCGCAACGACGACGCTTGCGTGCTCTCTCGCTGACGATTGATGATTTTGCGGGTTGATGTCGTGAGTACTCTATCGCTAGCAGCTGCGCTATCCGCTTGCACTCTCAGTTCTTGTAGTACCACCTTTCACTACATGGGCAAGCCGTGCGCATTTGGCTAGAACGAGATGACAACCAAGAAAGCTACGATGGAGCGCGTTGCATACGAGTAATAGGTTTCACTGCCTTTGGACAAAGGTATCTGACCCCGCGGCCTCACTCTTCCGCTCGGGCAAAGGCTCGTGTTGCACAATTATCGTACAAATTTGTGTTAGGCTACTCTGCATGCCGCGCGTGATAGCTTGCGAGAAGCCCATGGTCGAGCGCGATCGGCGCTGTGAGAGCGTGTCGGCGCGTATCGGGGAAGGACCGAGCGCCCAGCCCTTGCTTTTTGGCCACGCGAACAAAAGCCTCGGACGTGACCGCGTCGGCGAGCGCGTTGCCGGTGAGCGCCACGGCTTCGAAAAACATGCGTTGGGCTTCCCACATGGGGGTCGGTTCAATCTAATGCCTCACAAGCACACGCTGTGACCTATGGACACTACCTTCTGCACGATCGAGTTGAACTCGTCGAGCGTCAATTCGCCGTTGTGGTCAATGTCGGCATTTTGAAAAACCTACAAGTTTACCAGTTTCTCAGTTTCGTGCGAAATGTGAAAAACCTCTTTGAGATGCTGCTCGACTTGGCGCTCAATCGCTTCAAACTCCGAGACGTACAAGGCGAGAAGCGCGTGGCGGTCCAAGTAAATATGGGCGGCCGAGACCCCTACCCCAATCCTAGTGTGTCGGCGCATTTACGCGTGCAACGGCTACCAAGACGCTTGCCGTTGATCACATCGGGCAAGCCGTTGATGTGGCCCTCGAGCCGCATGAGCAACATATCTATCACCACCACGATCTTTCTCAACCCCTCAATTGCAAATGCGCAAGAATAGAGAGACAAATACCTGGCTGGAAGTTGACCAGCTCGAGCATGCGCTGTGGCTCAAAGAGTGCGATCGACGCGACCGCCTAGAGCATCGACCCAAATGCTCAACCGGACAAATGCTCGACTGATGTACATGACGATGCAAGCTCAAAATGCGAGAGTACGGCACCACGGGCTCTGCCTGCAGAAAACGATCGACTCGACCGCCCAGCAACAAAATCGTGTCCTACCTGCTGGCCATCACCGGCCTGCAAATGACCCAAGAGGCAGATAAAGTAGTCGAACGCGTCGATCGAGAGTGGCAGCGTATTTTTGAGCGCGCAAAATCGGGCAAACAGGTGGACCTAGTTCCATGTAAAATATATCCTAAACCCCAGCTTCACCTCGGGGTCGTGGCGCCAAAATTTCTTGAGTGACGCCATCAAGTCGACGACGTGCGCCTCGGCCACCTTGCGAAGCCCGTACTTGCGCAGGAAGAACTGGTAGATGAATTCCGGGAGCGGCCGCGTGTACTCTTCGACGAGCATGCGGCTAGTGTAGAGGTCGTGCAGGAGCAGTTTGAGGTTGGGCAACGAGAGCGGTCGCGCCTTGTAGCCGCGTGTGACCCCCAGAAGCTTGAAGATCGGGACAAATGCCGCTGGGATGTTGGCCAACGTGTTGCTGGCCAAGTACCGACGTCGTTTTGGCCGCTTGGTGTCGCTGAGCTTGACGCGACGCGCTGCTGCTGGTGCGACCGAGGTCACGTCGGCACTTGGCGTCACCGAGTTTATTTCCGGCGGTACAAGTGAAAGAAATACGGCCGAGCCGTACGCGACGATGGACTCGTCGTCGTCCGAATCCGAGTCGGGCGGTGCTTCATACAGCGCAGCGATCTTGGCGAGCGCCTCCAAGTAGGAAGGGTGTCGGCCATAGCCACTGCCTTCGTCCGTCTACCCGCACCCAAAGGTTGTATCGGGATGAAAGACAATATTGTACATACTTGAAGGGCGATGGTCCGCGCTGCCTTTGTCGTTTTATGACGGAGCGCGTTGATGTAGTCTTCGATCGCCAGGTTCGTGTGCGTGATCTGATCAACAATGTGCTTGGTCGAGTCGATCATTAGTGGTGCTGGCGACACGTAGCGCAGTAAACTCTGTACAGACATATTGTTAATCAACAAAGCCCCAATCCACGATGCAAGGTACCGTCGAATCGTTGGTCGGCGTGTATTGCGCCATGCAGTTAACGCAATTTTGAAGTAAAATCGACACGAGCGACGTCACGTGTTTCAGATCGTCCGAGACGTCGGCGAGCTCCCACGCGAGTCGTGCGCGCTCTTCCTAGACAACTTGTCCATACTCGAAAACCGGACGGTTGAGGGTCGTACGCTCAAACTCTGTTTCCACCAATCCAGCGACAAGTCGCGCACGAGGCGCTGGACCTCCCACACAATACTCGTAAAATGTGCTTCCAGCGTGTGGATGTCAGGCGACGGCGCGGACGCGAGTGCCAGCGCACCGCGCATCTAATGCCCCAATAAGAAATCGGATGTCTCACATGAGAATGATGGTTGCGTCGAATGATGGTCGCACCTGGAGCTTCTCCTCAAAGAGCGGTTGCGACTTGACCTTCATGAGGTCGAGGAGACGAAGCAAGTGGCAGTGCTTGATCGCGATCTTTCGCCGGAGAATACGCTGAATCAAGGTCGCTGCTGCCACGACGCGCGGGGACGCCGCGGCGTACCTGCACAGGATCGTTTGGGCAGCTCGAATGCCACGTCGGTACCGCTGCATGAGCGACGCGTGCTGGTCCATTTGCTGGCTCAAGTGCAAACGCGATCGCTTGTCCTTCTCGACGCGTTTCATGGCTTGGGCGTTGACGACAGACGAAAAAATCGATTCGCGCAGTCGCTACCACACAGCGGTGAGCGGGCGACCAAGATCTCGTGCCGTGAACCTGCATGGACACGAGTTCCACGCGCAGTGTGGTCGCCTTGTTCAATCGTATTTGACATCGCATTCGCAGCTCATTACTCGGCTTACCTTGGCGGTCAAGAGTCGCTTTAAAGCCGTCATTTCCGGTCCGTCGCGGTATAGTGCCAAACTCTGCGGTATCGCAGAGTGTGGCCGCTCGGACAGGATTCCCACGGGAGCCTTGGAGACGCACAGCTCGGGGCTGGTTTTTGGTACTATGATTGCGTCCGCCTCGATCGGATGCCGCCTTTCATAGGCACCATAGGATCACGATATCGACATCGTAGTGGCGAGAGATGCGAGTGGGACGTACGTGGGGTGGAGCGTGGGGTCGGGAGGGCTTTTGTAAAAGATGAGCCCCAACCGCTTGGCATGCACCACGTGCTCGTACAACCCGTCAACGTAGACAGTCCAGAACTGGCGTAGGAACGTCCCAACCTGCATTCGACCGTCCGATCGATGTTCTGCAAGCAGACTACGTACGCCGACGCTCGCGGGCTGCAGTTCCAAGTGGCTCGCCAACGACTCAACGAGCTTGTGGAAAAACGCATGGTGGTCTTCCGTCTGGTCCAAAAGCGCCCTCTGGAAATCGCTCGTCTGGTTCGGTCGACCACTCATGTGGGCCTCCAGCGCTGACTCGAGCTGCTGGGCGAGAAGCCGCGTTGGGTGTTTGACGATGGACGAGAGCTCGCGCGAGGCTTCAAGCTTGCGGCGAAGTCCAGGGACGCATGTCTGGGGCCGTGGCTTGCGCCGAGGCCTACGAGGCGTAGCAGTTATGATCACTACGTATGTATGTACGCTTCGCAAAGCGCATCGTTGGGGCCGCTGCTGTAGACGGCGTCGACGAAGTCTCTTGTTTGCCGTGCGGCGACGCGCGCCTTGACGACAGGCGATGCCACCTACACGGATGCAACCACAATCGAAATGGAGGAGTGGAACCTGCTGAAGTTGCGCCAAGTACGGCTCGTCTCGGCGGGCGCGGCGGGCAGGCGAGTCCAGCGAAGGACTTTGGCTGCCTAATGATCGACGAATGCAGCTTTGGTCTATGGATCCGGTGAGTGCACCTGCGGGCGCCTTGCGCAGCGGATGACGCAGAGGGGCCGACGCAGGGCGCATCTCGACCAGCAACAGCGTTACAATGAAACCGCTTAGAAAGTGCAATCGACAAATACGGCAGCACGATATCGATGTGCCATTTGCGCTAGAGGCGGCAACGCGCCTCATTTTGTCCACCAGAACGCATGCTGCTCTGTACGGACACGGTCAGCGGCGGAAGTCCGTATGGGCAAAATACCTTTTGAGAAAGAAAAGGTGAAAACGGTTGGCTACTCCTTGGTCTTACCAGCTTAACGACGACGCTTGACCATCTTTGGGTTGTACCGACCTCTCTCCCAACGGTATTTAGAGGTCACCCTGCCCTACATCTTGCCATCGTTCATAGAAATGGTGTACAGCGCAAATGCAGTTGCTTGCACTCTCTTGGGTGCAAGCAGCGACGGAGGTTATCTACACTGCCTCGTAGCTATTCGGCTGCTGCGATGACGACCTGTCGACGGTCTCGATTGACGTGATCAGCAAAGAAGCCTTCTTCGGATGGCTGCGTAGAGTTATTCACTGTGCTTTGCCCGACGACGTTGCCACTACTGGCGCCGTCTACAGTGTCCTCGGTGCTGCGCGGTCGTTGAGGCAGCGTGGGTTCGCGAGTAGCTGGCCGATCCTGGTATAAACCTCTTATAATGCATACTTCTGTATTCTATTCGACAGGTTTGCACTTTACTGGATACGATTCGAGCCAATCACACGTACTCTTCAACATGTTTCGTGCTGTGGCCCGCCCACTCGCCGCCGTCAGCCGCCGCCGCCAGCCGTCCGCGCGCCACATGAGCTCGATCCCGACGGGCTCGGGCTCGCCGCTCACGCCGCTGCTCCTCGGCGTCGGCGCCGGCCTCATCTACTTTAACCGCCAGCGCCTCCTCAAGGCGCTCTGCGACCCCGTGCTCATGCCGGCCGTGCGCCTCTTCGACCCCGAGACCGCGCACATCCTCGCCGTCAAGGCTGCCAAGTATGGCCTCATTCCCAAGGTACGTGCTTTCGTCAAAATGCAAACTGCCTGCCAATCCCATGCAGGACAAGCGCCACGACGACCCGAGCCTCAAGGTCACGGCCTTCAACCTCACGTTTGACAACCCGCTGGGTATCGCCGCTGGCTTTGACAAGCACGCCGAAGCCATGCAAGGTACTGCGCTCGATCCAACAGACGACTCGTATCGAACAGGCGATGCTAGGGCTTCTTGATATGGGCTTTGGCTTTGTTGAAATTGGCAGCGTCACACCGCTGGCGCAGAGCGGCAACCCCAAGCCGCGCGTGTTCCGTCTCACTGAAGACCGCGGTGTGATCAACCGGTATGGCTTCAACAGCGTTGGCGCCGATGCGGTCCAGAAGCGTCTCCAGCGCTACGCCTACTGGGCGCTCGAGCGGCCGCAGTACGCGTCCGTGCGCGCTGGGCCCCTCGGCATCAACCTCGGCAAGAACAAGACGTCGCCGAGCACAATCGTACGAACATGATATTGTCTATATACCACATGACAATGTTCTTTCCCTAGGCCGACTATGTCGCCGGCGTCGAAAAGCTCGGGCCGTACGGCGACTACTTGGTCATCAACATTTCGTCGCCCAACACGCCCGGCCTGCGCTCGCTCCAGGTACTCCTTCCTCCAGTCCACCAAGAGGGCCCACGAAACGACCGTGTGTGCAGGGCAAGCAAGAGCTCGAGGCGCTTGTCGCGGCTGTGCTTGAAGCCCGCAACAAGCTCTGGAAGCGACTGCCGCTTCTCGTCAAGATTGCGCCCGACCTCACGCCCGAAGACCAAAAGGACATTGCGGACGTTGCCCTCGCGCTGCAGATTGACGGACTAATTGTGTCCAACACGACCATCTCGCGCCCCGAATCGCTCACAAGGTAAGACGTTGTCCTTCCACCTGGAAAGCGCGCTGACGCCATTGACGCCCAGCGAGCACAAGGGTGAGACGGGCGGTCTCAGCGGCGCCCCGGTCAAAGACATCTCGACCAAGGTGCTCCACTCCATGTACGCGCTGACGCACGGCAAGATCCCGCTCATCGGCGTCGGTGGCGTCGCGACCGGCCAAGACGCGTACGAGAAGATCCGCGCCGGCGCCACCCTCGTCCAAATGTACTCGTGTCTCGTGTACGATGGCCCGATGGCGGTGGTACGTTCGTATCCTCATTTTCGACTATGAAAGTGCAATGTGGCTCTAGCCGCGCATCAAGGAAGAGCTCGCTGCGTGCTTGCAGCGCGACGGCTTTGCGTCCGTCCACGACGCGATCGGTGCTGCCCACAAATCGACCGCGTAGGCAACTTGACTCTGTTGCGGAATGCATTCAGTACACGCCTCGCATTACTCCGCTAGCATATCGGTGATGTGTGTGATATAGCCAATTGCGAGGTATGACCAGAGACACAACCAGAGACCTGTCAGGATGGTCAGGCACAGCGTTGGTTGACCGGTTCCGACGCGATAAGGATCGGTCACTAGCTACATGCAACGCTACGAGCAGGCAGCGGGAGGCAAAGCCAACGCGGGGACGTTGACCAAGCGAACGCGGTGATCCAGCGTAACCAGCCATTCGTCGCTGGTAATGGCCCGACGCGCTGCCGTGGCGGCGCCGCCTGGCCAGCGCGAACGTGCTTTTTCGATCTTCGAACTTCGGGATGCACCAGCTGGGAACGCGCCGCGTCTCGTCCTCGGCTTCGAGCAACGCCCGCGCGTCTCTCCCTGTCTATCTGCGTGCGGTCGTCGGTCGTTGGACGATCGAGTGCGTGCGTTGTCGTTCCGCGCGATGGGATGGCGGGTGCAGGCTACAGGACTTGCCGCTGCCATCGGATCGAGTGAGCGTGGTGTGGGGCCGTGCGACGCGCTCGTGCTGCCACGTGCTGCGACGGAATCGAAGTTCGAAGCTCGAAGCCCGAGATACGGTGCAGCGTTTCGACGAGCTTCTGGCAGCGAAGCTTCGACCGACCGCCTCATTGACCAAATAGGCATGCGTCTCTCGCTCCTCGCCGCTGTAGCTGTGTCCAGCGTCAGCGCCCAGGCGTCGACCGCATGCGCAGCGACAAGCTGCTATGCAGGCGCGCAGTTCACCTCGGCCAACAAGCTCACGGCCGCCCAGGCCATTGGCAACCTCCAAGCGCCCTGCTACGAAGTGCAGTCGCAGGGCGTCGCGTGCTACGCGTACACGACAGCAGGCACGTGCCCATTCAAGGGCATGTCCGACTGTGGCGCGAACGCCGTCGTCACGACCACACCCAGCACAACGTCCTCGGTCCCCACGACGCCCGTCGCGTCGACGACGATCGCGCCAGGCACACCGACGTTGGCCCCTGGCACGCCGACGCTGGCGCCGGGTACACCGACGTCTCTACCTGGCACGCCCACGTCTTCGCCCAACACGCCATCCGGTAGCACGCGCCGGCCGTCGACGCCGAGCGCACCGAATGGTGGCTCCAACACCAGGGGCTCAACCTCGGGCAGTCAGAACAACACGGCAACCAACGGTGCTGCCGTCGAACAATCGAGTGGCATTGGCTCGTGGCCGTACTTTGTGGGCGGCGGTGCGGCGCTGCTCCTCATTGGCGTTATCGTGATCGTGCTCATCCGCAAGACGCGGGACGGCGACGACGACGACGAGGTCGAAGACCACATCTACCAGAGCCAACACCGCAGCGGAAAGCACTCGATGCAGTCGGTCTCGGGCACGCATGTGAGCCCGTATGACGTCAAGCAGACGCATTCGTACGACGTTGAAACGGGCTACCAGCCAACGATCGGGTACCATGACCCACGCCCGCAGCAGTACCAGCCACAAGGATCCGGCTACGCGCCGCAGTCGCCGTACCGTGCCAAGCCCGCAATCGTCCAAGCGAGCCAAATGCCGGCGCCGGCGCCCGTGGTGACGAACCGAGACATGCATTTGCTCAACACGACGACGACGTCGACCACCACCACCAACCACGGTAGCAACCGCAACAACAACCACAACGCCGCACCGGACGACGACCGCCACTCGGTGACCTTTTAATCGACTATATATGGACTGGAGCGCGGCCGCCAAACGTTTAGTAGACTACGTTAGTACATATATCAAATGTCGTCGGTATGAAGTGCACCTTTGTGGAGGTCGCGACAATGACGTCATCGCGGGTCGACCCAATGGTCGTTCGCTCTGGTCCCACTCGGACCATTGGCACGCTAGCTCCGGCGCCACGTTTGACGACGACGCTGCTTGGCATCAACAACAACTTTGAAATTCTGCGTACTGACAACCTCGACCGACACCAGAGGAAGAAGATTTTGTCACCCGACCTATCTTCCTATCGACACCGTGCCGGGTCCGGCAACCAAACGCTTGACCAGACGCCACAACTGGACTTCACCCAGAACTGGACTTTGCCACTTGTGAGAATGATTCCCACATGGTTGAAGTTGGACCACTCAAACCGATCCACTGCGTGGCAGCCCGAGACAACGACAATCTCGTGTCGACGCCGTCGCTCACGTCTTCTATCCACCACACAATGTCCTAACGACATGGCCATCTCTGTACGAGGCGAGTGTCGCCAGCTCGCTTTGCCGACATCAGGCACCATGCCAGGATGACAACCGTCAGCCGCCAAGTGCAATCTCGCCGCCGGCGCCGGTGTGACCGTCGCATCGCTCATGCGACAACCACTGCAGTGTTGATAGCTACCGACGATCGTGGTTTGCTGTGGCCGTCGGTGGCTGCGACGTCGGCCCGTCGCCACGCGCCACTCCCTCGGCCTGTCGACTCAACACCATCCGGACGCTTTCCGTATACAATGGCCCCATAAATCTTGCACTTTGCCGCAAATGGATCCGCGGGCCGTGCACCGGCCGTCCATGGTGCATGGCATGCGCAACCGCGCCGTGCTGCAGCCGTCGACACCGCCGTCGCAGATCCCGCTCATCATCTGCGCCTACTACCTGCCATTGCTGCTCGTGAAAGAAGGCCACGGCAAGTTCCGCGCCGAGCCGACGGGCGACGCGCTCCTGGCGTCGACGCACGCGTTCTCGCACGAAGACCTCTTCCGCGTCGGCTCGACGCGGCGCAAGATCAAGTTTGTGGGCTGCCTCGACGTGTCCTTTGAGATTGCACCGCACGAAGAGGCCGAGGTGTGCCGGGTACGTGTCGCGTTGACGGCGCCTGGTGATCGACGTCGTAGGTCTGCGCCGAGTACTTTTGCACACCTGTCTTTATCACCAACGACGCCGACCGAATGATCTTTGATGCGTTTTGCAAGCAGTCGCTGTGGCCGGCCTTCCATGGCATCGTCCATCCCGATGGCATGCCCGGTGCGTTCACGCAGGCGGCCCCCGCGTGGCCGGCCATGCTCAACATCAACCGGGACATTGCGACGACACTCGCCAAGGCGTATGAGCCCGGCGACCACATTTGGCTCCAGGACTACCAAGTGAGCTTTGTGCCCATGTACTTGCACCGGCTCTTGCGCTTGACGCCGCCGCCCGTCGGGCTCTTCTTCCACGTACCGTTTCCGGCGCTGAGCGTGTTTCGCATTGTGAGCACCCGCGCCGAGCTTCTCAAGAGCATGCTCCAAGCCAACTTGATCGGCTTCCACCTCTACGAGTACGTACGCGCCTTTGAGCCGTTGTATCAGTGACGGGTCTAGACATGCCAAGAACTTTCTCTCCGCGTGCAAGGTCCTCCTTGGCATCTCGTCGCCGGCGATGGTCCAAGGCCAGTTTGGCATCGAGTACGGCGGGCGACGCATCGCGATCACGTGCTCGCAGCTCACGGTCGACGGCGCGCGGGTACATGGATTTGGTGCCCTTGATACATTGATACATATGCATGTATCTAGCTCGAGAAGCAGCTCGGGACGGCCGCCGTGACCGACCAAGTCATTGCGTACCGACAAGCCTACCCCCGCAAGATGCTCTTTGCGGGCGTCGACGTCTTGGACCCGTTCCATGGCGTCCTCGGGAAGCTCGCAGCCTTGGAGCTCGTACATTGCTATGCTCCATATCCCAAGCGACGCCTCAACACTTGCTGTGTAGTTTTTGGACAGCAACCCGGCGCAGCAGACGCGCATCATGCTGCTCCAATTCGGTGTGTTGACCAAGTTTCTCGGTACACCCGACTATTACGAGGTGCGAAGACTATCTAATGTTTGCTCTCGGGCGAGAAATTATCAAGTGCCTATCTAGCAAGTGCAAGCGGTCGTCGATCGGCTTAATGCCAAGTACCCCGAGCCTGTGGTCGTCTTCCACCTCACGCGGCGCAACCTCACGTGTGCTGAGCGGCTCGCGCTCTGGCGCGTGGCCGAGGTCTTTGTCTCGACTGTGCTCCAAGAAGGCCTCAACATTAGTGCCTTCGAGTACATTGTGGCCCACCGGTACGCCCCCTCTATTCTTATTGTTCTTATTCCTTCGGGATTGGCGATAGAAATGCCACTGGGATTGCCATTTTGAGCGAACGCGCCGCCAGCAGCCGCTTGCTCCACGGCGCCTTGGTGGTCAACCCGTGGGACGTGACGGCGATCGCCAAGGCGATGGCGACCGCTGTGCACATGCCGGCCAAAGAGCGCGAGTTTCGACGCGACTGCGACCTCGTGACCATCGGCGCCCACTCGCCCGTGCGCTGGGCGTACTGCGTCGTCTCGGACATTGCCAAGGCCGCCGCGATCGTCAAGGCCGGGACGCACTTTTTACCCGAGTCGCCGGTCGTGCTCACGCTGCTCCAGGAAGAGAAGTTTCTCGACTTGTACCGCAAGAGCTCACGCCGCGTCTTCTTCTTCGACTACTACCGCACATTAGCGCCGGACGTGTCGTCGGACTTCGGGATTGTGTGGCCCGACGTGCCCGTGAGCGTGCTCTCGAGCCTCGAGATCCTCTGCCGCGACAAGCGCAACTCGGTGTTTGTGGTGAGCGGCTGCAACTGCGAGCTGCTCTCGGACAAGTTTGGGTCCGTCCCTGGCCTGGGGCTCGTGGCCGAGCACGGGTACTTCTTGCGCTGGGCGTACCTTGGCCACTCGGCTCGCATCGACAAGTACTCGTGATGCGTGCGAACTAAGTACGATGACGTTATCGTGTAGGCCGTGGGAGCTCTACGGGGACGTGTTTCGTGTCAATGCCGCCTGCGGCAAGTGGCGTGAGAAGGCCCAGGTCATCATGCAAGTGTATGTCGACCGCACGAACGGGTCGGCGCTCGAGATGCGACGGAGTTCGATTCTGTTTCGCTACGCAAAGTCGGACCCCGAGTACGGGCTCATGCAAGCCATGGACCTCAAGGAGCAGCTCGAGGCGCAGCTCGCGGTATGCTTCTCGCTCAATAGGATGAAAAAGCGATCCAAACACGGAGTGTAGAATTGGCCGCTGAGCATCATCCAGGGCAAGGACTACATTGAAGTGCGGCCCGATGGTCTCGGGAAGGGCAAGATTGTCGGCCAAATCCTCAACAAACTCCGCAAAGACTCGGAAACGCCCGTCGACTTTGTTTTGGCCATGGGCGACGACGTGGCCGACGAACTCATGTTTGAGGCGGTCGATGCGTTCTCCAAGGCGATCCATATTCCGACAGGTTTCTTCTAGTGTAGCCTACACTTGTGGACATTATTGTCTGTTGTAGTCGTCACGTGCACGGTCGGACACAAGGCGACGCAAGCGCAGTACTTTCTCGAAGACCAGTTGCAAGTCGTGACGCTTCTCAACAACATTCGTCTCGCGCTGACCAAGGTATCTATCCATCGATCTATCCATCTATCCATATATTTATCCATTTATCGCAACATCGTCTAGAGCAACCGCAACTACTCGGTCTCGGACATGCAGACGATGCTCGGGCGTCACATGCACCACACGCCGCAAATCTCGTTTACGTCGACGCCGCCGTCGCTCGTCGTGGAGTCCTGCAGTGTCTCGCGCAAGAACAGTGCCAAGACGTTGCGTTCCGGCTTGTACGCTACGCAATGATACGAATGTATCAAGTTGATACATTCTCGATTAGGACACCCGTGCTGGAAGAAGACCATGCTGGCAGCAGCGAGAGCCTGGTCCGTGGCGGGGGCTGGCGCTGGAAGCGGTTCACGTTTCTTGCACTTTGTCTTGGCTACGGACTCTACCGCCATCGACGCAGCGTTCAAAAGACTTGGAAAAAGTGGGCTGCGCTTGCGACCGTGTTGGCAATTCTTGCCGCCAAGGCCACCGCGAGTGACGAGACCGACGACGTGGACAACGTGACACACCTTCGGCGCTTGAGCAGCGAGTCATTTCGGGACGAAGAGTAGTAGGAATGACTCACGTGAATCGCAGAGGACATGCAGCGATGGTACTTGAGTTACTGTTGTGCGGCTGGCAATTCAATGTCCGCGCCAAGTGCTTTAAACCAAGACGAACCACATCTGGTTCATTTGGCGCAGTGGCCCGTCGGACCACTTGTCGAGATGGACAATGGCTTCTGTTACACAAACAGCGCTTTTGGTCCCCGAGGCGAGGACACGAAGGCCTGCGCACGAGGCGTACGTTCTCCTCTTTTGAAAGGAAAATCCTGCTGGCCAAGATCTAAGGCTCAGTGCCTTGAGTACAGGCGATCTCGTGCCGCCCATCGGTTATGGTGCGTCAAAGCCCCAGCCACGGACGGAGTTGGCCGCGTCGTTCTCGAACGAAGTCTCGACCGGCGTGATCTTGGATGGCGCCTCCAACTCGACAATCGCAAAGTCGTAGACGAGCGAGTTCTCGGTGAACTTGGGTGGAACTTGGCGTTTGGACTTGGATGCGCTCGCCGTCAGCGCTGCCGCGGACACAGTGCGACCCACCGAGGCGTATGGGACCAGGTTGTATTTGGCGCACCGCACCGTCGTGAGCACGATCGTCGGCGCAGTGAGCGCCTGCTACAGACGCTGTCCGTCCTCTCAGCCGATCGGAGGCTGGTCACGCTGCGTTGCGATCTGCTTACAGAGGTACAAGACGGGCGCCACCACCACTGCCGAGGCGAGGAGCGCAAGCGACGTGATAGAAATCATACTGAGACGATTTCAAAATGAGATTGAAAGACACCAGATCAGAGGCAAGGGTCCACCGATCTGGCATCGAGTCATGAGCGGTTTGGCAGTCTTTGTTGGACCAGACTTTGAACAAGCTCGTCTTCCCTCCACACGCTAAACCTATCCCTTGTACTGGGCGACAAAAGTCCAACTTTATTTTGACAACGAATGCGCATGATGTCGCCAGGTTGCGGTTGCCTGTCATAGTTTATATATAATAAAAAAGAGGTTTCTAAAAATAGACGGCGAAACCCACCCTCGACCAGTCGGGATTTGCAGCCATGGGCAAAGTCGGGTGCTTGACATGCTGCGCCGGCTTCTCGGTCGTCGGGATGGTCTTCCTCACCATCATGGCCATCCTCTTGAGCGCGCAGCCCGAGTACATCCGCGGCTACCACCATGCCAAGGCGCCGACGGCCAAGAACTCGTGCATGTACGCCGCCGTCCTCTACGGGCTCACGTTTGCGGGCTCGTATTACCTCTTGCGCAAGCACCACGAAGAAGCTGCGCTGCGCTATGGCGTTGTGACTACCGACGACGAGCTCGAGCGCCTCAAACTCGACGCCGACGACGACAACGACTTGCGCGAAATCAAGCCGTCGAGCTCGGTCCTCGGCGCCATCAAGAGCCAGATCATGAACGCCAAGGTCATGCACAGCGACGAGATGGTAAGCTTCGTCAAGGGCGAAGGCAGCCCACGCGGCGGAAAGCGGCCCAAGCCGCGCAAAGCCGAATAACCTAGCGCATCAACGCAGATTGCATTTGTACACTCCTGTCGTCGGCGTAAGAAAAGACACGATGAGCGGCCACAGACTTGCCAGCGCTTTCGCTTACATCACAGTAGCGAGTCGAGAATCTCCTCAATGGCAACGACACCATCAACATGGCCATCGACTGGCCCACCTCGCGTTTCGCCATCATGGCGCAGCCCTGCCGGCAAATAGGAATCGCGTGTGCACCCTGCAGGCGCTGCGACGATGGGCCTTGTGCCACATACAAAGTCGATTCTCGCTCAACGTAGGAGTCATGTCACTTGTAGTTGATTCCTTTGGCCCACGCGAGCCCACCATGGCGGCTCACCTTCGACCCACTCAAGCCCATCGCCGAAAGGTTGGCTGTTTGATGCAAATAGTGTGCTATCGTCGCCCACAGCAGTCGCGTCAAGAGTTGCGCAGCAACATCGAACGCTCAGACGCTGCATACATAGCACTACGCCGGAACACGTGGGACTTGCTGGCACCAGGACATGGTCGTGGAGCTGCGCACAGAGAGGTCTATCGCGGAATTTTCAATACACTATATTGAGCATATTATATGTAGTGTATGTTCCGAGACGGGCGTCCCTTCAAGATCGCAAATCTTGAAGCGCCATGCCCGACGCCAAGGCCGAGCTGCCGTCGAGCGAGCTCTCGGACGCCGAGTACCGCAAGATCTCGTCGCGGCCGTTCATCAAGCACAACGACATGACGGCCGAGGTGTGCACCGAGACGGTCGAGATCATCACGATGGCGGTCGACAAGCACGTGCCGGTCAAGAACTATGAAGCGGCCGCGCAGCTCATCAAGCAGAGCATGGACAAGAAATTTGGGTCCTTCTGGCACTGCTTTATCGGCGAAGGCTACGGCTTTGACATTAGCTACCAGCAACGACACATGCTCTACATGTACGTCGGCGAAATTGGCATCCTCGTCTACAAGTGCTAGCGCAACGAGTTATAACCCTGTACAAAGATGGTCGATATCAAAGTGCTGGCAACGATGGTACTATGGTTGCTCACTCGCGAAAGCATGCGAGCTATGGTCGCTGGACATACAGTAGTTCTCGTGCAACAAAGGCGGGAAATACCGTGTTATCGCGGACGGACAAGTGTATTTATTGGTGCACAGATACATTATCTTTACCACGTCGACTTACATGAGGGTTTGATCGTCCTCTACGAATCGGGGCGGCGTCCCGAGGTCTTCCCAAGAATCCAGCGATCGCTGGAGGGTCTTGAGCTCGTACACGGGGTTGAGCTTGGCGTCGTTATCAAGCACTTGCCGGCGCCGCTCCCAGCACGAGAGCCCGACGCAGACGACGAGTGACGTGGCATACGCCATCGCACCGACCCAGCAGTTGGCGGCGTGGGCAGTCGGGGATACAGAACGCTTGAGACCGTGTACAAAGTCGGGTTGGATGGAGAGGATGCACCCGAGAAGACTGAGAAAGACCGCGCCAAAGAGCGACGTGAGCGTACCGCAGAGCAGCCAGCGACCCATCGTTTGTTCTTTGCTTTTTGGCAGCGCCGCTTTTCGAAGAACACGAGTGAGCGACAGTAATTTTTGACAAAAACATTCTTCAACCGCACTTTACACCGCGATCAGGTAGTGGGGTCGTTGGCGGTGTGAAATTAGAGGAGCACGTACGGCGTACGGAGAGTCCAAGCCGAATACCGAAAGGATATGCAATCGGTGGTCCACATTTTTCAATCTGCGTCCGCCCGCCGCATGCGGGATTCCGATTTGAAAATCATCGACATACTGGCGCAGTTGTGCGAACGAAGCCCAGAGACTGGTGACCGACGGGCTTTAGAGCGCGTGCTGCGGCTGCATTTTTGTTGTTGGTTGGACTTTTGAGAGGGAGCTTTGGAAGAAATCGCCGTGTTGCCATTTTGATCCTTTGGCTATAAACCATTTCCTCACATGAGCCAGACACAGTTGATGTGTTCGAAAGGATACGAGCAACATTGTAGAAGGAAAATTTCGTGTCTGCGCTAGCACGACGTGAGCCGGAACTGACACCCAACTGCTTCTCGTACACCAGATGTGTTGCGGGCACGGTGTCTGGTGAGTGTCGAGCGAGTAACTGGTTACGTTTCTACCCAGCGTTTATGTAATATCTAGGGATTGATCAAATGCGCGCATGTCGTGGACGACTGGAGCGAGCGCTTGTGCGCGTCCAGTGCGTCATCATGCGACCTCTCGGCTCACGATGCGTTCAGCCATGTTGATGTTGGAATGAACTTTCTCATTACCAAGTGAGTATAGGTACTCGTCTCTGGGCATGCTGTCCGACCTTGCTTTCTGTCTAATCACACTCGTACGCTGCCATATCCATTTGCTTTTTTGTTTGAAGAAGTTTGCTCGACCGGTTGTGGAGCGTCTCTCCAATTCTCGAATCCGTCTCAAGTTGACCATATGTTGCTGACATATGGGCCAGCGGCTCTAGGTGCCGTGGGCCGATGACAGCGGGTTGTGCCACGGTCGCACACTGTCGTGGAGCAACTTCAATGTGCGTCGTGGTACATTGACGCGCCTCCCAAGCACCTGAATCCTTCCTTGTCATTTTCAAATCTTCTCAGTATGGTCCACATCGCGTCCTTCGCGCTACTCGCCTCTGCAGCCCTCGCGGCGCCTACCTCGTACATCAAGGGTCGCCACGGCGCGACGCACACCGAAGCCATTGAAGTCATTGGCGGCAACGAGGCCGAGGTCGGCAAGCACCTCTACGTGACCGGCCTGCGCCAAACCGAAATCAAGAAGAACGAGTGCGGTGGGTCGCTCATCTCGCCGACGGCCGTGCTCACGACGGCGCAATGCGCGTACGGCGACTGGGCCCAGTATGTGTCCGTGGGGTCCCATTTTCTGAACGGCACCTCGGACGGTGAGCGCATCAAGGTCAAGACGATCGTGTCGCACCCCAAGTTCAACATGGAGACGATGGTCTACGACTATGCAATCCTCGAGTTGGAGAACCCGTCCAAGGTGTTGCCGATCGAGGTTTCATTCGAGGACGATGCGGCCAACGCGCCCGGTGTCACGGGTGTCGCCCGGGGCTGGGGCACAACGAGCCTCATGAGCCCGCAGTCCAACGTTCTCAAAGAGGTCGGCCTCAAGATCTGGTCCAACAAGGACTGCCAGGCCGCGTTCACCAAGCTCAATGATCCGTCCATCCCGGCGGTGGCGACCTCGATGGTTTGTGCGGGTGGCGTCAAAGGCGAGGACACGTGCCAGGGCGACATGGGTGGCCCACTCACGGTCACCAAGAACGGCAAGGACGTGCTCGTCGGTCTCACGAGCTGGGGCGTTGTCTGCGGTGAGGCTGGTATTCCCAGTGTCTACGCGCGCCTCTCGCAGGCCAAGGACTTTATTGCGCCATATCTTCCCAAGCCGGCGTGCTAGACGCTTGGGCAATATGTGTAGAGTCTACCAACACCGATTACAGGCTTTTTGTAGTGGCTTTCGACTGAATTCACTTTTGTCCTTGCTTTGTCGACGTGGTATCTATTCGCTTCGTAGTGTCGTCTTTAGTTGAAAAAACATACTGCAACGATCCATTTTGGAATGGCCGTCCAACACGGCATCCAACGGCACACTGTCGTATCTGTGTTGGCTGCACCGGCCGCTTTGAGGCGAAAAGCTTAGTCTATAACCAAGTCGCTTTCTCTACTATACCATTTCCAGTGTCACCGACTGTTGTCTCCCTAAGCAGCCTCACAAATCGCACAGCGACATCTGTCTTTGACTAGAGCCATTCCTGAATACCACGGATGGGTCGATGCTTTCAGTGGTCTCCGATGCGCCTATTCCACGCACTCAACAGAGCATTGGTGGAAGCTGTGACGCTCACCGCTCGTGACATCACCAGTGCAAGCACCGTCTTGACACCGACGGATGTTCATAGAGAGTCGCAGTCTCGTAGCCGTTCATGTCGAGGGCCGTTCATGGGTCGTATGCGAGTGGGGTCGTGACCGCAGCGAGACTTAGTGTGTTGCGCGCGTTGATAGTCAGAGGACGTATTGTGCAAGCGTTTCCTTTCAAGTACTTCGTATTTTGCACGTGGCTGTAGTACAATTGTAGTAGAAAGTAGAAATCATACTGTCGTTTGTTATAGTCCGTACAAACCCGCACCGATCGGAGCTGCGGAATGCCATCGCCTAGCATGCCGGCTTGGTAAGGCACGGCGCAATAGAGTCCTTGGCCTGCGAGAGCGAGAGTAGATACTGGCGCGGTCGGGCGGGGCGCAGGCAACGTTCCAGCTTGTGAGACCGACGAGCATTTCTTTGCCGTCCTTGGAGACCGTGAGCGGGCCGCCTTCGTCGTCATCACACGTGCCCTCGCCCTTGATGCCGTCGGCGCAGATCATCGTCACGTCCGCGGGCGTCAGCGACGGGTTGTGGAGATTGTCGAAAGCAGCCTGGCAGTCCTTGTTGGACCAGATCTTGAGGTCGACGTCCTTGAGAACGTCCGAATGCGGGCCAAGCACCGAGGTCGTGCCCCAGCCGCGGGCCGTCGCGACGGCGCCGGGGGCAACGGCCGGGTCGTTCTCGTCAAAGAGGATCTCGATCGGCGTCACGGTTGTCGCGTTGGCGAGCTCGAGAACCACAAAGTCGTAGACCATCGTGTCGTCGTTGAACTTGGGGTGTTGCACGATCTTCTTGACCGCGATGCGCTCGCCGTCCTTGGCGCCGCTGAGGTAGTGCGAGCCGATCGAGACGTAGTTGATGTTGTCGTCTTCGATGCAGTAGCTAGTCGTGAGGATCGCCGTCGGCGAGATGACGGCACCGCCGCAGTAGTTTTGGTCCGTCTCGTCCTCGCGACGACCCGTCACGTAGAGGTGCTTGCCAATCTCGGCTTCCTTGCCACCAAAGACCTGGATCATGTTGGCCGAGTTCGGGGTGGCCTGGACGGCGGTGAGGGCGGCGAGAGCAAAGACAGAGGCGATTTGGACCATGATGATCAAATTGAAAAATGAGAATGGTAAAGTTGGTGGCTGGCGCTTCAAGTTGGGTCAAGCCCAGCAGAG